TTCAATTCCCAGATTTGTAGACATCCTAAAGTTTATCATAAAAGTAAGTTTCTATTTTCTTTGGAGTCTTCATAAGTTAAGACTCCAGTCATGCTACACTATAAGTTCGGCTTTGAATTTGAATTTAAACTGTTGATTAAACTGAGTACAAAATTATTATCACCGCGCGTGATGTTATTGAATTCACTATCATGAAGTCGTAATTTGTTGTTTTAATATAAATGAAAAAGACCAAGTATTTAAAAGTGCTCTCCCGTAAAACGACATACTTTTTGTCCTTTCGGGGCTGAGACGCGAAAGAAAATTGGCAGTTTATACTTGCTTGATCAGGGAGTCAATATGAGTACTGTGATAATTCACTAATTCACCGATCTCAAAACATGGTTTGAATACCCGTTTATCTTTAAATGTTTCAGAGCAGATACACTTCAATGTAAAAAAATATGTCTATCAGTAAAGAGAAGAATTGTAAAATAGTGACAACATGACAACAATCAGCATGTGCGAAGGTGTTATTTATTGCAAACCGGCCGCTACATTGCTTCGGGTACTAGATAGCGATACCAGTTGATGTCGATAAAATTACTGAACTCAAATCCTTCTAAACGATTAGTTCCCTCTTCCAACTATTCAGTAGCACGACCAAGATAACGAAATTCAATTGCAAAATATCTTAATATCTCAAAAATAATTATTTAGCAATCAAACCTTCACTCTTGTTTGCTTGTTGTTACCCTGGGAACCAGAGGCTGGATTTACTCGTTCTTGTAGTTTATATACGGCGCGAAGCGCCGTCCTTGAGGCCGAAGGCCGAACCGTAAACCAGCCTCTGGCGGCACGGATAGHRAATCTYACTYCCATGTCARTGTTTACATTCAAGATCTGAATGTTGCAGCTGATTGGTCCGTTGATATCGGAGCGATATTATTACGAGGGCTTCCTGTGGAAGCACACGTCTAAAAATGCAACTGGCGTTTTCGTCGTGGTGGTGAATATTCATACTCGTCCCCAGTGCACCTCGGTCGTCCCTTCTCCCTTCGTTAGCACTGGTAACAGCCGTTTGAGGCTCGATGCTGATTGGCTAGAAAGTTCGAGCATGCGCGATTTTCGCCGTACATTCAACCGTCTCTCCTCGCTCTTGATTGGTCGATTTATAAGGATGCTCGGAGCTTTTTAGATGGAAACCTAGTGCGCATAAAGCCAAATAAACAAAGCTGACCTTTTCCTAACGGGCTAAGGTCGTAACAGAAACACAAGATACAGATACATGATTAAAATGATCAAAATATTATTCAAAATTATACTGCCAAGACTGTACTG